GAGGGCTGGGGGCAGAACCAGTGATGGGGGGAAAAGAGGGTCCCCTGCCCAGGCCTGACACCTCTGCCCAGGGTCCCCTGGCCAGGCCTGATCCTGCGATTGGAGGGTGATGGGGGTCAATGCCTGAGGGCTCCCAGTATGTGAGAGGGGGCAGGCTGGGCTGAGGGACACTCCCCCCCCCGCCCACTCCACACCCAGTGCACGAATTTCGTGCACCTTGCCCCTAGTAAGATTATAATGGACCTGAATTTTTTCTCTTGCCTAGTGACACAACAGTCCTAACATTGTAGCATGCTGTGTTACTCCTGTGTTACAATGATGCTGAGCTTAGTACTGAGCCTCCCAGTTGTGGAAAAGCATAGCCCATACAATTGCAGTAGTCGACTATCCCATCTAGATTTGTGTAAGTGCATTCTGTGATATCCACACAAGGGTAAAATGGCCTAACACTGCATTTCTCAGAACTTATTCCCATAATGCCCATAGTTTAGCAGTGCCTGACTATACTCTGGCCACAAACAAGATCCCCAGTATAGAGAATCAGTAGGAAATATTCTACAAGGACTATTTATCCTGCAAATGGCATGTGGAAGCTGTTTCCCAGTGTTTTCTAAATTCCAGGTTTTGGAAGCTCTTTACCTCCCTCACAGTGTCTGGAGAGCTGAGACGTCTCCCTCATTCATCTCCCATGCTGTCGCAGCTGCTGGCCAGTCAGTACCTTTGCTGTCTCGCCTTCAGCTCTGTACTCAGCTGCCTGGACTATTTTGAAAACCACCGAATGGCCTTAGTGGAGAGAAAACAATGCCCTTTGTGTGCCCCACTATTATCATTGTCATCTTATCTCATCTTTCCTGCCCTCTCTGGCCAGAGTGTCTTCAACGATCCTCAGCCCCCTTATTTCCTGTGTTCTGCCGATTAGTTAACTATGGTTTGCCAATTACAGTCCAGCCTAAGAATAACTGTGTTCCACGTGGTTGTAACCATAGTGAACATACACTTCTATACTCTGATTGTTTTTTTCATTTAAATGTACGTCGAAATTACACTGCCTTACTCCAACATAGTCTCCAATAAAAAAATTTTGCATTGGCTTCAAAATTATATTACATCAAGGGGGAATATTAGGATTTACTTCCACAATAATGCAGAATTAAATATTTTGGAACTAAAGCTTTTCTCTTCATTTGGATTATTTACATGGGCTAGCTTGCCAGTGTTGGGGTTTCTAGGACAGAAGAAATGAACACCTAATGGCTTGCTCAGAACTTTCAATATGCCATCATGTCACACAAGTTGTGCTTTTATTTTACACACTGGATTTTGATTTTTATTTTTTCCATGATAAGCTGCCCTCCTCCCCAACTCCCAGGCCCACAGCACCTGCGCCTTGAGTTTCTCAGCATTCGGAGAAGAGATAGCATTGGGGTGTACCGTCCCCAGACCTCTGTTG